ATCAAGTGGTGTCAGACAGGACTGTCCTCTTTCACCTTTCCTCTTCCAATTCGTCATTGATACGATCCTGGAAGACTCACTACGAACCTCTAGTGCCTGTGGGGTCGAAGTGCTTCCTGGGCGTTCGCTCACAGATATAGAGTACGCAGATGACATAGCTCTTTTTGGATCTGAGCCCGTGGCAATGCAAACAATATTAAATGATCTAAATAATTCTGCCTCACGGTTCGGTATGCGCTTCACACTTGCAAAGTGTAAAGTGCTACTGCAAGACTGGATGGGATCGAACCCTAGCTTCATGTTTGCGGACGAACCGATTGAGATAGCAGACAAATTTGTTTACTTGGACCGCTGTATCAGTTCCGATGGTCTCACGAAAGATGATATTTCCATCCGGATTGGAAGGCCAGAGCAGCTTTAGTGAAACTGCATCACCTGTGGCTTAGGCGTGACATCAGCTCCTGCGTCAAGGGTCGAGTTTAGAATGCTGCGTTGCCCTCCATATTACTATGCGGATCAGAAACCTGGCAGCTGCGCGCCGAGAAAGTCAAAAGATTTTCAGCCTTTTACTATCGATATCTTCGGAGCATTGCCGGAATCTGGTGGGAACACCGGATCAGCAATGCTGAAATACGTCTAATGGTATTCGGGAGATTTAACTCACCCTCGATAGGTGAACTGGTCACACTGCATAGGTTGCGTTGGCTTGGCTACATGCTCCGTATGTCAGTCGACCGACTTCCTCGAAGAGCTGTTTTCGCACAACCACGTGAAGAGTGGAAACGAGCCAGAGGCGGTCAAAGAATGATTTTGCAGCGAAGTATGAAAGCCATTGCCAGCAAACTCCGCTGCGCTGGTCCTTGCCGTGTTCCTGAATGGGGACCTTGAAACGGGCCACACCAATCGTTAGAGACACTGTCAGACGTGGCCCAGTTGCACCCTCAATGGCACTCATGCATCCAAGCTATCGCCCTTAATGCATAGCTCCCTTCTCAACCCCCCACCTAACAGTCTACTGACAGTGGTGTATTTACGCACCCATTTATTAACTCCCGCCTCCAATGCGCGGGTACCTACCGCGCCTCGCCAAATCATCGGTGAACGAAACTGTGGTAGCTATAACCACTGTACGACAAATACGCGGTTCTTACAGCTGACAGTGATGATGAGGCGCTCAATAATGGTTTGTTTTTTAACGCAGAATGTTATGATGATGGTTGGCGCACGTTGCAACGTACCGACTACTATTTTTTTCTCAATTATACTAGATTTAGAAAGTGGGTCCCGCTGTGCTACCTGGCGTCCTGCTGCGACTGAACAAACGTGGGGCCTTCAACATCCGAATGTGAAGCCCAGATCGACCTCCGGTCCTTCTAGATTACACATGTTTATTCAGGTCATGCTGTTGTCTTTCTTAGATTTTTATTCGCCTCCCTAAAACGTATCTATCAGTGTAAAAGTCTTGTGTTCAATTGTCACTGCCTTCTCAGCCTAGCAAGATTAAGCCAGCTGCAGCATGTCCACTCGAGTAATCGGTAACGAATTGGAACTGCTAAAGCAACAGTTGGGTTACCAGGTCACTGTGATTGGAAGAAAAGCCGCACATGCTAAGCCCTTGCTAGCAAAGGGTTCGCGTGGGTGGACCTTGAGCTTTTCAAGGCGAGACGGAAGTGGTCACTGTCTGACTGGGTACCTTGGGATATTCATGTCTCCCCGTTTGAGATCCTCGTGGTTCCCCCCGCGTGTGGTTGGAAGTCCGAAAAGACGTGGCACATAACCTATTCCAGTGGTCAGTATGATCACGTAGCCTGACTGATTATGTCATGTGCTTGGCTTGCGCTGTGTAGGGCCCCCAAAGATGCTCGACAGACTTCGCTGACATCGTCTTACCTCGACCCGATACACGGAGTTATTTGTTTCATGTTTGTTGTAGAATGTCTGATGTTGCCTTCGGGTAACGACTGCTCTTGCACTCAGTGCCAACTGCTCCGTTCTATCCCTCCGTATTAAGGCGTTCTCTCCTCATTGTTGTTAGCAATTGGATATCAGTATTAACCGTCGCCGTACTGTTGCGGTGGTCGTTGCTGGTGATCATGACTGCTTTTTCCGTTCCTGGCTGCCACGCAACCTGAAGGCAACACGAGAGCTAAGATACTGCAAGTGTTCAATTTCATATTAGGATTGCCGAAATAAACGTGGAGACTTTTCAGCAGCTCGCTACTTAATATACGAATCTTCTCTTACTCCCCTGGCTGCTTAATCGTACCGCCTCAGCTTTCGATCTTTCATCCCTGCGTGCTTTTAAAAACATATCTAGCGCACTAATTATTTTTCTCCCCAGGTGTGGGATCTTAGCAGGATGGATAACTTGGCTGTTAATTTGAACGAATTTTTATCTATGACATTAGAAAATCTTCAGGATATTAATGTCAATGCGCTGCTCGAGGAGTTTGAGGTACAAGGTTAGACCATTTTATTCGTTCGTTCATTCAGGTCAGTCCCTTCTTCTTGCCTGACTCGTCCGATCTTCCCGGAAAATTCCTCACAAGCCGTTGACATTGTTGAGGAATCTTGTAACCTTCAGGTATACCCTGGTTCAGTAAACTCGCAATATCTAGTTAACTTCAAGTCCCATTTTGTGCCTGACAAGACAAGTAGACCAGAATAGCTTTAACCCCCCTGAACCGAAGTTCACCGGATTCGTATATCCCACCAGGGAGGAGATTATCAGCGAAATGTTGCCCGACTGTCCAGTGATCGTTGCCGGAGATGCCCTCAAACTAGAACACAAGGAAAACTTGTGCCCTTTAAGGTCTACCCAGGAATTCGACGACAGTTTGTCCGGCATCAGTTGGACCCAAGCACTAGCAACTTCCATTTCTCCTCTGAAAGATTTGCCTGATTCTGTCCGCATACCACCTGCAGTTGACTTAGACCACCCTGTGTCTTCAGCTACAGCGCCGGCATACGGTTCTTCAGCTGTCTTGGACCCGATACATTCACTGTTCATGACTGCTGGCGGCATGAGGATATCTCTTCCCTCGACGGAGGCCATGCAAAACGCCAGACGATTGCTCAGAGATGACTTGGTCCCGGAACAGTCGAAGCAAGAGTGCCTACGGAGACTGAGGATGAGCAACGAACCTAAGACCCAGAATCAATCTCAGTGTGATAAAGAGCCGTCTGAACACGCAGTCGAGTGTACCTTAACAACTGGGACTACATCAACAGGCTTATCGTGTTCCAGCGATGCTCAGTTTACAGGGTTTACTTCTGCTAGAGGCGTTACATTGCTTCTTCGCACTAATTCATCTAAAGATCGCGCGAAGTCACTTCTGAGTTCGGAATTACCCTCTACCGTTCAGCCTCTTCGGTTTGGATGCGATGACCCATCTCTTCATACGGACAACTCCATGTTAAAACCCGTTCAACCATTAGTTTCATCTGACTACCCTCGTGCGACGTGCAGCACCAATCAACCCACTCGCTCTCGTTTTGCCTTTGATTCAAAAGTTACATTCCATTCTCCTACTGAGCAGTTGGCTCTTCAGAAGAGCGCCTTGTCCCAGGAATTCATTACGGTGTCAAAAACTTCCTCAGACCCCTCAAATTCGGAATCTAGGGAAGCGCTATCAGTAACGACGGACCTCCAAATTAGAGAGGGACTTGGTGAAGCAATGCAATTTGTTCCGGGGATGTCGTCGTCTGTTTTACAACCCATTTCCCGGGTTCCTGAGTTTCCCGATACTAGATGCATTATTGGGTCACACTCCGATACAGGAATAATGAACTCATCGCCTGAAAAGTTTGCGGAATTATCTTCTCTTCCACTGACGAAATCAGACACACAACCCCCATCGGCTGCTTCCCCGACTTCTGCCACTGTGGAAGGAACAGCTAACAACATCCAACATAAAAGCGCTTTTTCAGAGGTCGACCTACTAGATTCCATGTTAAGGCCTCATGTTCCTGAAGATTTCGTGAAGGCTTCTGATAACAAAATTAAAGCAGTTTCTGGTGCTACCTTGCAACGCACTAATCAGTTATTTGTTTCTGAACCCGACGGAGATGACCCTACTACCACTACTGGTGTGATGATTGATTGTCAAAAAACTGGGGCAAGTGTCACAAGTTTTGATGAAGTGCCTAATCCCAAAAATCTCTTCCATACTCGCGCACACCCTACGTTTGCTGGCTTCATTAGAGCTTCTGGGCGTAGCGTAGATCCCGTATCAGAGGCCTCCATAGAGCATGCAAAACAGCTCTGTGCAACTAATATGGAAGACGTGAGTCCAAGTCTAGCGACTACTAGTCATGTGCCAGTTTCAACCGCGTGGCCGTCCAAAACCGACGCGATGCAGGCTGCACATAAACCTATTCATTCACATAAAACTGCCACTTCGGGTTTCAAAAGTGCTTCAGGTCATGAGGTCCCTTATTCTGAAGAGTCATTAAAACGTGCGAGACAGTTATATTTAACTGAAGAAATTACCGACCACGTGAACCCGTCTGGGGTATTGAAAAAAGATCAGTCACCACCAGCTACGCTGTCCGCTAAAGTTGAAAGTTCTGAAGATGTAAGGAGTAGTTCAGGGGTGGGGACGTTGGCAAACCTACCGACTCCTCTTCCGGAAGCTGACGTCATTGCGGAAACTGATTCCTTCACTGCCTTGATGGAAGACTCACAGTTTCAAGATGTCCGGACATGGCTCCACAACGACGACCTTGAAAGGACAGACTCTGTGTGAGTTGCTTTTTTTGGTATAAATCATGTTACAACAGTTATAAATGTTTTGGTCCTGCTTATAATTTCACTGAAATAGTACCTGGCTAATTTTTAAGTTTGTGTAAATTATCGCTTAGAATCGTTTGTTCGATTCGTATTCGCGTGCAATTTTGGTGCTGTCAGCCATTTTGCTGAAACATGTGATAAATTAAATATCACCCCACTTTTGGAAGCGACTGTTGCGGTCGTCATTGCTGAATGTATCACCAGTCGAAGGCGCTTTCGCGACTTTCGTGTGACTAATTACTAGATGTCAAGTAAACCAGTCGCGTATTCCACTTAGGTACACCTTGAGGTATGGCTTGAGCTAGGCTTGGGCAACTTGGCAGTATCCGGCCATCGTGCTTCCTTCGGGTGACGTGGCGGCTAGACACTGAATGAGTGTTATAGCTGAACCATTTGCTTTTCGGGGTATGGCTTGCTGGATGAATCTAGTGTATGTTTGTTGAAGTGATTGAACAGAAGCAAACGTAATAGCAGTGACCTAATACTTTCAGAACTGGTCACCGGAATAAAATCTTGGGACTATTCATAGCATATTAAAACCAGGTCTCTTTTGAGCAATCCAAGCGGCAGGTCTTCTTCCGTATGGAGTCATATTTTTGTACGTCAAGCAGGACTACCTTTGAAATTGTTGCTGTGATCGTCTGCTAGGGTATGCAGCAATACTCCACAATAAAGTACATTCCATATTAGCGAAATACGCTCATTTGCATACCAATTTGGTTGTGACGGATCACTCACCTGGAACTCAGCTAAACCTCTCGTTTTTACATGCACCATCGACTTATTTTTAAATTATCATAAGAATGGGGGCATTCAGTTAAACTGGATAGAGAGGAGTCGGCACAGTCCCAGGAAGTTGAACCCATTCCCCTGCTCAAAGGGATAGTCCGTCGCTATGTGACAGGGTTTTCATCCAGTTTTCTGACTCGTGGACTTGTGGGTTAGTGAGTTCCGTTCGCTCTGGGTGGATGCCGCATTTTGAAAATACTGACGACTAACTAATCGCTTGTCAAATCGATTCACTCTGTCTCAGCTAGGTAGATGGCTATGTTTGCAGGAAACAATCTAATTGTTTGTGTTAAGTGCATAGTCTTAGTGTGCGCAAAATGCTTACCATGATGCCGTAAAGATGCGGGAATGCGTCTGGCACAGATAATTTGCAAGAATGTTCTACCTTGGCACCCGGTCTACCCAGTTCCATTTTTTGTAAGCAATTATTCTGATCTGACGAATTGGCATCCAAAATACCTCCGAAATGCCCATTGTTATCTAGGAGAAATGCACATCAGACATGCACGTTCAGGCATCCATCTTGTATAACCCTTTTGGAATAGATTCCGTTAGTCGCCATGTTTAGACTCAAGCAAAGGAGTCTGTAACTCCGAGTAGAGCGTGAAAACACCCAGTTAACCTTAAGTGGCAATGAATTGGTGCGCTGTTTTGTCTCTTTTCATTTGACTTCTATCTGTGACACTTTATAAGGATCACTGTGAAAGTCGCATGACTTAGGTTTATCTTTTTATTTCAAAATGACAATGTGGACTATGAGCACGGTGTTCACAGTTCTGGTAGTTCATCGTGAGATTTGACAAAACGTACAGTCGAAATCGTAAGAAATAATCGTTCAGCTGCAGCATTTTTTCGGTGACTAACTGCCATGCCTTCAGAACGAAGCACCAGGGCTGGGATACTCCCAGGTTGCTCAAGCCTAGACAAAGGTTGCGTTCGAACCACGGACCTTCCGGTCAGCAAATCCGCGCTCTAACCACTGATCCATTTCGCCTCCAACGTACGGTCGAGTCACTAGTGAACTCTTCATCTTATTGTTCATGTATTTTTCTGGGTGATATTTCCTTCATTTAGACTAGAAGCACGAAGACAACAATTACGAACCGAGCAACGAGAAATATTGGCGAATAAGTTGGAGTTACCACAGCCAAACCGTTCCAAAAATCCTGGTCCCAAAGTTCTGTCTCGGCAACCGGGTCAAAATCCGGTTGGTTCTCTGTACTGTCCCGGGTCTTTGTGGAGGTTGCGCGCCGCTTGCAGACAGGCTACATCCGAACGCTCCCCCCTAATGCCACTGAATCACATAGTGGCACATGAATCATCGTCCAAACGAACCCAGAATCACGACAAACATATTGGACCCTTCGATCTGCCGGACAATATTCACTTCCCTGTGAACACAGATCGATGGACCTTACGTACTGCAGCCCAACTACGTTGGCAATTAGATCGGACGTACATGCTCGATCCCACGGCAAGTCCTTCTCTTCCGGCATCGTACGGGGCTGGCGATGGTGCTGTGCTCATTCCTGACGCTTACGGTTGTGTTGGAAAGGAGGAAATACTTGAGTAAGCTAATCCTGTGCCTTAGATTCAACATACCGTAGGTTGCTGAGTGTTGTGCAACTTAAAAACACGCATTCAGTTATAAGGCCTCGTACAATTCCCGATGTATCGTCCTGTAAAACAAAACATTAGAATATCCGTGTGTTCGTCAAGTCCTCTTAATCGGATTACTTCAACCGGCTACCGACCCGGAAAAGCATGATGCTACTTTGGTTCTTTCGAGAGACTCACCTGGAACCCAGCTGAATCTCTCGTTTATGGTGCCTGAGAACATCTGTATTTATGGGGTTATCACAATGTACCACAAGATTCCGCTAGAATCTTCGTAAGGGAGCGGGGAGTGCCGATCCATAGATGACCGCTTCTGGTTGACTGACATGCTGACCAATCAGTGCATATCTTCATTCGCTCCGTAGCCCACACGCGAAGCAACCTTGGGTTGTTTGGAGCGGCTGGCCTCCAGACAATTATCATTCATCAATGACACAATGTTCTTTCATTTCTACTCTTTTTCTACACCCACCAACCCTTTCCACCCCATAGTATCCGCTGCCACATGTTGAGGCGACCCAAACCACCGTACATAGGTAGACGGTTTATCGTTGTCAGAGTGAAACGAACTAACCTGTTAAGTCAAAGGAATCAGATGTTACCGCATGCTGAAGTCTTTTACTGATATGCTTATGTGGAGCAAATATAGTCCATAAATTTGGTGATTATTGTGTACACTCGGTAAGTGTACAGAGAAGTTACTGCACTCCTTTAAAAATACAACCACTGTTCCTCTCTGACCTCTCCCCAGCGCTTTTCTGGCCTCTCCAAGCGTCTGCTGTCAGTTGACTTCACAAGGATGGCTCTCTAATCATTACGATCAGCTCGTATGGAAACTGGGGAGCACGACACTGAGGGCGTCAGTACCGGATAGCCCATTCCGACTACCGGTGGACTACTTCACGCCACATCATGTGCTGTTGCGATTAAAGTATCGCTATGATAGGGAATTGGAACAAGTTGAGAGGTGAGTCTCTATTCTGACTCGTGCACCACACAGAAGACGTCACTCTTTCATAATCTTTTCTAGTAATGGTCTTGGTTTCGATCCGTTTGTCTGTTATGAACCGAACCACAGCCCTAAATTAGGCAGCAAATATGAAAACAAAGGAGAACATAGGAATTCCGGTCCGAATTCGGCTCCGATAGTGTTTAGAAGATTGGGCGTAGTTTGGTGTATAATATGGAGTTTTTAAATTCAAAGCAGCGTTGTGGAATGAATTTTTGTAATCCAACGTTTGGTCGTAGAAATCCTTGAAAAAGGTTGTGCACGGCAACCGAAGCGTCGGATTGCAACACCTTATTCTGCAACACTGTGTTTTGACTTAGAAAATTGCATCAAAAGGAGCAATGCGCTGCTTTGACCCTCATACTACTGCCATCAAGTAATATTTACGTGGCCCGCGCAGCACTTCACCGCGTCACCACAAACACGTCGATGCACGCCGTTGTGTAAACGTTTTCAACAAAGATGCCCCTACGGAGGCATGTGGACTCCTTACTTTGCTGCGCATAGTTAAGCGACATCCGTAGAATGAGCTCTCTTGCGCAGAAGCAGTGGTATCGGCTTGATTGATAAGGCCTTCATTTTTTCTCGAAAATCTGCTGTGCAACACAGTGCAAATAGCCCTAAACCATTTACTAAGACCCCTCCTCCGTGATGGCAGAGCATCTATATGTAGCCGGTGCGACCTACCTGAGAGTGAGTTGGTCACTGACTAAAACACTTTCAGTACCCATGCCGTTGTTTCTGGGTTCACTTTGAAAATATGAGGGCTCGACTAGCGATCAGTTATACGGCTTGTGGTGCTCCTCCGACGGTTGTGAAAACCGAATAACAGTAATGTTACTGCTCTTTGTGTCACACTTCTGTCCTTTTCCCTGGCGAGATGTGCTGCCATAGATTTGTCTGGATAACCCTTTGATAGTTAAACATCTTAAGAATGGCATATTTGAATTTGAAGAGACTATGCCCCTCTTTAACATCTTCGTTGTCACAGATGCTTACGCTCATTTATTTCAGGAAACCGATGCCGAGTCTGATAGCCCGATATCATTTGGGTGATCTAGATTATTTATTACTAGATTCGGTTTGGAATCTTATTCTAATGTAATCTTTCTCTTTCATGAAGACCGGCTTTGCGAAGAATTGTTGAACTAGACGACACACCCGCACGTCGCCTCGTACTATGTGTTTCCGAAGTAACCGCGATAGGTTCGAGTCAATTCAATGTACGCGTCACCGATGGTTGGTACCAAGTGAACTGTCAGCTTGACGGGGCTTTGATTCGACTCGTCCGATCTGGTCGAATTCGCGTTGGAACAAAGTTTGTCACTGCGGGTGCCGAGCTGGTTCATATAGATGCTGCCACCGGTGCCAGCGTGGCTGTACGTAGTGTGAAGTGCTCCGGAGAAGACAGTCAGTATGGTCATCTGTTCGGGGCGGACGGTGCTGCGATGGGTGTTTGTCTCCGATTACACGGCAATTCCACACGCCCCTGTCCATGGTTCACCCGCCTTGGTTACTCTTTTGAACAACCCGGTTCTTGGTGCGGATTATATCCGGTCCCCCTGTGCACGTTGTTGCCCGATGGAGGATTGTGTTCGGGGATTCGTGTGGTGGTCCAGGTGGGTAATCCGAAATTAACGATGGGGTTTGTGCTTTCTAACCGTGCCGATATGAGAATTAGGGATTAGGAGGGATTTTACGGGGATTTCAGGAGTTGTTAGTTAAACTTATCTGAGAGTGCGATCACGTTGCCCTTTTGGGACTTGGGTGGAGATACTACAGGACATGGTTGTGAAGCCACCATGACGTCCCCACAAATAGCCCCTAGTTGGCTTGTTTGGAAGGTTTCGGCATCTTGAAGGGCTACCACTGCATCTTTTTTCGCTGTGGTTTCTGTACGCCAGTAAACAACAGCCTACGCCCTACCGTTGCTATGATTGGCAATGGGGATGCACACAAAGGCACCCTAGTGCTGTTAAATGGAAGATTCTCTGGAAGCATATTTAGGCAACTTATGCGATTAATATGCTTGGTCGGAATAAGTTTTCCAGTACTTAGAATTGATTAAGTCGTTTTTCCCGTTCATGATGGAGCGGCGATGCACCAGATCATGTGGGGAAACCTTCTTGGTGAACTATTGTATCATTTCGGTCTCGCATCGATCTTCTGTCAGCCTTTCTTCAAGAAGCGTAAGATACTCTTCTTTCCCTTCTAGATGAAATCCTACCATTTAGGATGACTTTGCGAGCTGCTTTCAAGCATTTAATGAATGCACAGTAGTCTACCCTCTTCTAGGCGTAACAGATATCTTTCAGGCGAACTAGCAGCCATCAAGTACCGTTTTTCGGTGGGACCAACAGCTTTCGTTCGATTGTGATAGGATATACAGGTATGACCAGAGTTCGTGTTCCGGACTCTCGGCCCCGTATTACCTTTTCAAGTAATGTCGTCCCGCAAAGCTCCATTGACTCGTGCTAAACTACCGACGGTCATCGTATTGCTGTCCCCAGCCTCATTGAATCTCATCGCTAGTGCTCATAAGCTAGGAGCCGCACCTTCCATCTGGCTTGCCGAGGAACAGGTTTGTGTACATGCATTTTTCCGCCTAACTGATAGTCATAACTGCGCAACGCATTGTTCGTGCATTAAGATTGCTTACGTGTTTCTAGAAACGAGTGGTCTAAGCGACCGTTGTCGATGTAGTATGGGAGCATATCTTCGGTAGCACAAACATGGTACAGAGCCCTCATCTTCAAGTGTCCACTGTGTCACTTTCGGTGAGTTCAGTATCCAGTATTTATTGTCATCTGCACCATTATTATCGAATAATCGAAGAGGCATAGGTTATCTTATTGGTCAGTGAGGAGACATAAGAATCTTACTGTAGGTATGTCATGCCGATTGTTCTGTCGGACTCCAAAGATTGCTTATGAATAAAGACTAAAATATTGGACAAAGATTGAATGTCTTGTGTGTCCGCCTCACATATCCTTTAAGATGCTAGCAACGTAGCACTTCTGTACTTCATTTATTGCATCTTTTTCCACACTCGTTTTCTTTCCACGTATCATCCAACGTGCATCTCACCTCTACACAATTGGTGTCGGTCCATGCAGCGTCGGTTTCCACTGCAATACATGGAAACGTTGGAGGCCTTACCTGAATCAGCCAATGAAAAGGACGGAAGATCGCCTGGTATGCGCCGTCATTTGTTTCGTAGCGAGAGGGCTGAACAGGCTGAGGTCGCCCAGTTCGAACAACAACGGCGTCGAGCCTTGGACCAGGCCTTGGACAATCTGATACCCACTGGTCGCGGTAAATTCCATCTGTCTTTCACCATTACTTTCCGGATTTGACCACACCTACAAACTATGTCAAACGTTACAGCTGCAATAATCCCTGAAGACATACGAAAACTGGGGGCTTATCCTGGAGAAAGATCTCCCTTTAGTGAAATCGTACATTAGGCGTTGGATGACCGGCATTTGATGCGAACTTTCCAGAGAAGTGGTCATCATTGGTTGAAGGAACAAGGAAGTGACCGCTACAACAGCCTACCAAACACAGTAGCTGAAGCGTGCATCTGGCGCATAAGCAATTGCATTGTGATGATTTAGTAAACAAAGCCGATCTAATTAAGGTAGTTAGGACACGTGTTATGTACGCCGAACCGTTTACTTTCTACTTTGAACTCTCGTTGGGGAAAGGTCCTCGGGGAGTAGGCAATGATTTAGTAACGTGAAATGAATGTGGTTGCTCTCATACTGAATACTATGGGATAATCGCGCCTTTCTGATTGGGACATACGTGATTCTCCTTGCAGATGGCTAAAAATCTTGCAGGATATGACACGTGCCCGACGAGTCCCTAGTCAAATTTCCTAGCAAAAGTTTGCTTGCCGTTATATGTTTGGCCCATACTGTGTGAGGTTGGCCCATGTCACTGAACGTATCTTACTCTGATATGATTCTCAGATGCGTTTACTGATTTATTGTTGCAAGGTCTAGGTAATCTGTCCTTGATTCTCCTAAGCACATAAAACTGTTTTTACTAAGTCCTCGTCGTTCATCGTTCGTCTTTCCTTGTACTCTTTACTAAGACATTTCACGGCTATATGGCAGTCAAATGCGTGTATCTACTACTGGCATATTGTTGTTGATAGTGATGTTGAGTTCTCTGTTAGAGGGATCTTTCGTGGCCTTTTCATGTTGGGATATCGCGATAAAATATGCAAAAAGGTATCGGTAGGCGATTTTAGTATATTCCGAAGTTAAGAGGTTCCGAGTGTCATGCCAGTTTTTGGGGTCGCGCTCTCATACCATCTTAGGAAGCTTCTCATTAAAGTGTATTTAGCTTCCTGGATGGGAATCAAATTATCAAAAAGGGTATTCTTTTGACAGCATGTTGACGTGTCTCGATGGTTTGATTGAACTGAGCTCGAACCCTAATCTCATGCTTACAGATGAGTCGATTAAGGTAATGGACGAATTTATCTACCTGGGCAGCTGTCTCAGTCCTGATGGTCCTGCGAAAGTTGGTATTTCTATCCGGACTGGAAAGGCCAGAGCTTTCGTGAATCTGTATCATCTGTGGCGTAGGTGCGATATCAGCTCATCCGTCAAGGGTTAACTTTACAATGCTGCAGTGCGCTTCATATTAGTACAGGGTCACGAACCTGGCTGCTGCGAGCCGTAATCAGTAATTCTGAACTATGTCGAATGGTCTTCGGAGGAAATAAATTGCGCACAACAGATGAACTGATCACACTCCATAGGTTGCACTGACTTGGTCATTTGCCTCGTATGCCAGTCAGGAGACTTTCTCAAAAAGCCTCTCTCTCTCTCTCACAACTATGCGAAGGGTGAAAATGAGGCAGGAGAGATCAGGTAATGAAACAAAGATAATCACGAAAGTCGTTGCTGACAAACTCAGCTGCGTTGGTCATTGCGTCTCTCTGGATGAGGAACCGAAACAGGACATTGTCAGACATTGCCCAATTCCACCTTTAATTGCGCTCATGCATCCAAGCTATCGCCTTCAGTGCATAGCTTTCCCTCCCGACCCCCCAGTGAAAAGTCCACTGACACCCCTGATTTACACATCAATTGTATTAGCTACCGCCTCCGATATGTAGCTGTCTACCCCACCTCCTCGAATCATCGGTGAACAAAACGGTGACAGCTATAACGGCGAGTAAGTGGCTTTTACTGCTGATAATGATGATTCCAATGGTTATGGGTGATAGTTGCACTTGAGCGTGTAGAAGGAATGTTCTGATACCAGTGGAACACGCTCGTTCAAAAGTTGAAATCGTTCAGTTGTAGCACCCTTTATGCGCCTAGCTGCCATGCCACCCGAAGGAAGCATGAGGAATGATGATGTTTTGTCATGTTGCCCAAGCCTAAATAGGGGAAGTCGAGATACAGAGGTCAGGTTTGAACCACGGACCTTCCGGCCAGTAAATTCGAGCTCTAACCACTGAGCCATTTCGCCCGCACTACTTGATGAAAAAAACGGACATTGGGTTATCTTACTCGCTGCAGTCTGTTGACCGCTTTGTCTTCACCGAAGCACTGCGTTGTTTTCCAGTTTTCTGGCAGGTGTATATGAGTTCGCAGTTGTGAACTGGAGTGTATTGTTGCGTAAGACGAAAGGAACGCCTGCATTTGCCGTAAACCATGTCGTTCATCGTCCGAAGATCCATTAAGTTACACAAAAAAGTCTAGTTAGCCTGCAAGGTATTTCTTCATTCAAGTTAGAAATCCGTTCATTGGTGTTCTAGAAGCTGCTTATGGCGTACTCTGTAACCGAGCCTTGGTCATCTGAAGGTCTACTCTGTTACAGGTACTACTGGTCGAAAGCAGCCTACACCGTCTCAGCTAGCTTCTTTGGGTACGGATGGCGAAGCTTTGTTTGCCGCTGTTATGGGCGCTCTGGACCCGACAGAAGCCGAATCTGAGCTCAATGATGTCCAGCGTGACGCCATTAGACAATTCAAAGAAACTACACTAAGAAGCGCCATGGATGAAATGACTAAACCTAGGAAGGTTAGTCCTCGGTTGATCGCATTGTCCGATTGAGTCATGTACGCATGGGGTTTAACCTAATTGAATCATCCCGAATTTGAGTACCTTACCCTCTCCCTATTCTAGGTGACTCCACTTCTGCGGGTTCGTGTGGCTGGACTTCATCCGAAAGATGTATCCCTGAATTATGGTACGTAATTTCTCTCCACATTTTCCATTATATTTCTCGACACTGTCTTTCTTTTGTGGGCCGTTAGCATATTCTGATCTGTCAACATACTTCGTGGCTTTGCCAAAGAAGACTTCTCCATTCGTACTGACGAGTTCATCATTGGCAACTCAGTCCTCTTAGTAGCATAATACATGCGGTTGCAAGTTTAAAATGAGAATCCTATCGTTTATACCTGCTCTGCGAATGGCCTGATGGTCCTTTGCAATTCATTATTCGTAGGATTCTCCTCCGGGTTTAACTTTGAACTGAAATATTGACAGATGCCATTTCTCATGCAGCTGCAAACCCCTTCCGGTCTATAATTGTCGTGCTTCCAGGAGGAAGCATGAGGACTGATATACTGCCATGTCACCCGAGCCTAGAGGAATGCAGTCGAAAAGTCGGGGTAGGGTTCGAACTAACCACTTTCCGGCCAGTAGTTTTGTGCCTTAAGCGCTGGGTTACAGCGTGCTCAGGATGTTACGACCTTTGCTATCGTTTTCAAGAGTAGCCTGTGATGCTTCCACAATTTCCTACTCATTTGTTTCTTTCATACCTATACAAACTTGCTGAACTTTTGTTTACTTCTCGATTGTGTGGCTTAGTTGCCACTTTATGACCCTCGCACCCTTATGAAATCGTTTGATGTACAATGTACCGTTGGATACTACTTACACAGAGATTCCCCCTTTTTTTAGTTCCTATCCCTCCCTCCATAATTACTTGCTGCTACTACTCGTTCTACCTTCGCGTCAGCACATTTTGTTTTGTCGGTTTACTGGAAATAATGCTATTTGACTGACGGTTCAAATCATCAGTTAGACGCAATTGTTCCTTCCTCATCTGCATGCCATGTAGAACGCTAGAATCGATGGTGTGCATATCTTGTAAGTAGTAAATATATGATAAAACGTTTTTTTCACATGGGAATGTAATTAATGCTGTCGCTTATCTATGCACAGCTGTCTGGTGCTGATGGTGATCGGAACCCACGTCCTTTGGCTGATTAGCAGTGCACATGCACCACCCGCGCAATGATGACTGCCGTCCGGAATGACTTGAGGCGGCTTTTCCTGTGGTTTCTTAACCTAACCCACCACTATTACGTCATTTATTGGAAAAATTATGGTCCTAAACCTTATTTTAATGTAGGTGTGAATAGTTTTACTGTCTTCCGAGCTAATCGACCGTTCTTGTACCAAAGGAGGCTTTCCGGTTTGTAAGGTAAATGCGGAGGGATCAGTGAAACCATAAGTGATTCAGTGACCATTGCTCGTGAAACACTGGGTAGCGGTCCTTTTGTGTGTTATGTTATTCTTTTCTAGTGGTGTTTAATACTTTCGTGACAAAAACATTTTGCTTAGTCTAGGACACAGTATTTTGCATTGCATCAATCCATCGTACCAAATGCACTCTTCATTTGTGGGCTTCTCATTGTCGCTTTCTCTCTCTCTCTCTTTAGTTGTACCTGTAACATTTTGGAACCCAACCGATGACCTCCTGACTGTTCTTAAAGAAGGCGAGGCCGTAGAAATTTATAAGTTACAAGTGAGTAAGCAGTGCACCTCTTGAGTCTATAGCCTTGAGGTTTTCTCATTACTGACAGATTATTCGTGCGGTGGGGTGTACAGTAATGAATAACCAACATACGCTTATTTTGAACAATATAAGTGGAGGAGATCGCCCACTCGATGCTCTCCCTGTATCGCAAAGTTTTTGGATAATGCTACATTCCCTGCTGCATGCACGGCTGGGTAAGAGCGCTGTACCACTGTATTTAGCGGAGCACATATTCATCAATGTCAAACATATGGACTGATTTTTCGGTGGTTTACATGGCCAATCCGATGGGTGTAGTTAGAGGAGAAGGGATATGACAAATGAGCTATTTTTCTACTCAGTCACCTGTTGAATAGAAATATTTCAGAAATGATCGGGGTGTTATCTCATTAGTGGTTCATCAAATGGCTCTCGATTTTTTCGCCGAGCTTTAAAACTAAACAGGAAACTCTCGACCAAAAGTCTAGGTTGGTTGCCGCTTCCATAGAACAAGACAAATTGATGAGTGTACACTATTTCAGTATGTATCCATCTGTGGCCCTTCATAAAATAGACTTCCTTAAGATTAATTCAGTGGCCGTCGACCGCATCGATGTTACAGCGTGGTCTGTAATCGAAAAACGAACCCGTCTTAACTGATCTGGTCCCATTATATTCAGCGAGAGAACATCATGATGTCGCCTGTCGACGAGGTCGGTACATCCGCCGTGGAATGTTCGCAAGGATTTTGATCCACGATTGTTCTTCTCTTCCAGGCTACTACTACCCGCGCTACAGATCCTTTTGCACCACCTTCAGCGGGTCAAATGATATCGCCAATGCAACGAGCAGCACTGTTGCCCGGTGCGACGCTTGCACTATCAGGTGGCCGGAACACATCAGCCCGTCCTCTCGTATCCAGCGCCAGGAAACAGAAAGCTGGCAAAAGTTGTCTCCCTTGCGATGTCGTTGATGAGAAACTAATTGAACGCGTCTACCGACCGAGAAACGCTATGAGTGTCACTGATATACAACACATATGTGTGTCAAACTCCTCGGAGTTCCATGCACCTCTTACTGACCAGAGTACGTTTCAGTGGTTTGCGAAGCTTGACAGCCATGATATGCGTGTGCCCCTTATCTCAAGCAGCCCTCTAAGTAGTTTCCCACTGTCACCACTTGAACTGGGTTCCATATTCTGCCATGGTTGATTTCCCACTGTTTTGTAAGTTTCCGTGTTAGTCCGAATGTCCCTAGTTCACAGCCGTCACACTTCCGTCTACCTCATGCTCTGAATCCAGTCCCCAAATGACTGCTCATATTCTTGCCAAAAGTGAATCCCTTCTGTGCATGTAAACTTAAGCTTGTGCTCCAAGACAGTAGACAGGCAAAGAAGTAACCACCTTACTTCCTGTCCCTCCGTATTAATCAACCCCGAGACAGTGCAATAATAGATCACCTGAGGCTTGCTGTTTATTATGACTGCGCACTGATTTTTCATTATCCATATCATTAGTACTGTCTCATTTTTTCCGTTATGCAGATACACCCATAGAGGTTGACCTGCGGTGCGTTGTGGTGGCCGTACACCAATCCCACGCTACGGATATCCCTCTGCGCACCAAATCTGATCCAAAGGCTGTGGAATCCAGTACAGCCATGGGTCATCGCTCAACAACATCCGAAGTGGATTCAGTCTACGTGACAGACGTCAACTCCTCATCTGATGGATGTTTGGTCGTTGTTAAAATTTGGGGTGGTTTACAAGTGAGCGACCTTTCAAGGCTACCTACGCTTAAACAACGCTCAGAATGATTTGTCGAGTAGGCGGTAGACATGAGAAAAGGTGTTTATTATTTCTACTTTGTAAATCAGCATGTTTTTGCTGGCTGTCGAAGAGTTTTTGACAATCTTATGAGTAGATGTGATACACTATTCATATGTTGAAAATTGTTCGACAGCCCACGTTCGGTTTTACCCTTCTTGGGTCTCATCAGATAAGCGCAATCCCCGAGTTTTCGTCAACCTTATGTTCTACCTGAACCCACATTGCACGAATTTGGCGAAATACACTCATTTTCAAACCAATTTTGTTTTGTAGGAGACTCACCTGGAACCCAGCTGAATCTGTCGTTTATGAGGTTCCTCAACTGTATGTGCTGGGCCAGCCCGCCGCGGGTTTCAGCTGGCACCATTTTCGAGATATCGCGATACACGTGTAGAATTAATACACTACTCATAAGGTTGCTGAAAATTCTTCGACAGCACATTCAGTTGCTTAAAACCATCGTGAACGAGAGATTCTGCTGGGTTCCATGTGAGTCTTCCGTAAAACAAAATTAATTTGCAAATGAGTGTATTTCGCTAACCCTATGAATAGTTCTTTCAGGAAATATTATTCCTGACCTGTTAAAACCCGTCCATGCCTTCACTGTAAACAACTTCATAACCCTATAACTATCCAAAGATCAAGTGCCTGTGTGCTCCACCGTATGTTTTTATACTTTAATGATGACTTCGAAGTTGACACCGGCTTACGTGAGAGAGTTTGATAAAAGAACAAAAAATCAGTGCACATCGATTTTTCTCTTGAATTTCCATTGCTCCGAGCTTACAGACTGAAATTTGACGTTTCATACTTTGGAGCTCCACCAGTTTACAGCAAATTTTCAGTTTAGCCGGTAATTGGGCTATTAATGACATTTCGAATAGTGTGATAGTCTTTTTATCTTGGCGGCTCCTATAAACCTTTCTTACTCTCCTCCAACAGGCACACCATTTGTCCAATTTGTTGCAAAAAGGTCAAGCCGTCCATTTTACCGACCTGCAGTTGCGTCGGAGACAGCAACTACCAAGTGTACCAGTTTTAGACCCTGAACTGGGTTCGAAATCGTTCACGTTGATCTCTTTAAACTACACAGTAGCCAGCAACGTTACAGTCGACAAATTGCTCACCAGAACGCCAAGGTCAAGACTTTCAAATGAAAAGGTTTGTGCTACTTTCTGCGTTAACATTAGGTGTATGTTAAGATGATGGGGTCCTGATTTTACTCTCCGGTAGAAATGCCATAAATCGTTAAAGTTAAGGTGACTCCCCTCAGTTTGTTTCGTATGAACGAGGTGTTTTCTCCTGAAAGAACTACTTTATTCCCACGAACTTCACTGTTGGGTTGGTGTGCAAAGCATCAGGCATTCAAAGAAGGCCAGAAAATTTCAGTACTTTTATCTTATTCCCCTGCAACGAGTTCAACTTCCCATACGAAATCGGGGAACGCAAATGTTGTCTAGCATAGGAGTTTTTCATGTGTAACCGCGGCGCGACTGTTTGTTCGCACACAGAATTCATCCCTACTAGTTGCCTCGAGTGTACAGTACTGATGACCCACTCGTTATCCGTCCAGCAAACTGGTCAAACCCTGATTCCAAACTGACCATGGCGAACTCGGTGGACTGGGCAGATAGTTTTGTCTGCAGCATTCCGTCGTTCGCCAAATCCCTTGTTACTTTGCCCGTTGTGCCTGGTTGTTCCAGAGCTAGAAGCGATATCGCTGAAGGAGCTATGCATACAAAAAACGCAAGAAATGCATCAACTACGAAATCCCGTTAATGCTTCAGCGTTCTCGATAAGCTATAAAGCCTGTGCTAGTTCAACGGGGGCCAATACATAAGCTGGAAACGTTTGCTGCGGAAAGTGGTCCGTAGCATTACGGTGCGAGACCATCATGATCATGGCCTGCCTTTCCGAAATCCGACTTCTGTAGCGGAATCTTCAAAATCGATCGTCCTGTCTGTCTTCGGAATTCTATTTTGCAAATTCACACGGGTAATATGGATTTTTTTAGTCGAAGCACAGCGTAGTGGAATAAGATCTAATCCGACTTTTCGATTGCCGTGGGTAACCTTTTTTTAAGCATTTCTACAATCAATTGGCTACGAGTTATATGGCTCCAGTATCATGTCTTCTGATTGTCGTGTTCCTGTGAGCAGTTGGCAGTGATAATGAAGTTGGGAACGGGCAGAGTACCATTAATTCCCTGGAGTGCAAGCTCTTTGTCAACATTAGCCATGGATCCTCTCTAGGAATCCACGGAAAAATTACACATCCAGACGGGTATTTGCATAGTAAGTTTTCACATCCACGCTACCTTAAACGCACAGTTATCTTGTCGATAATGTTTCTCTTGAAGAAACTACGCTCGGACGGATCCATACAAGCGACTCATTAGGGTAATACAGTAAACTAAATACTTCAGGAGGCCCACCGCTCAACAAATGGGGAGAACGGTACCCAGAACGGTGATGCATGAAGATGAAAACCCGATGGCCACCGTGGGAATATTCCATAGAGATGGCACTTCAGACGCCATTCGACAGATACTTCTTGATAATGATGGTAAAACGTTCTTCCGAATTGACAGTACTTTACAACGACACCTTGTAAGGGCTAGGGACCCTATCGAACTAAAGCACCGCAAAAACTGTCTCTGCCAAATTCCCTGTACAGAATGTCCGATCAAATGCCTAGGCCAGGTAGCCAGGCAATTCCATGTACTGATCATGGAGCACAAACGACATGCGCATTTTCCTCCGAGTAGAGTCGAAAGAACTTGAATGTAACTCAGCCATTGCACTTCGCACTCTTGAGTCCACCCATCATATCAACTTCGACGGTACACGCATACTGCAGTCAGGAATCAAGTCGTACTTTGAACGGATGTGCTTTGAGAATCTAAAGATCAACGCACAACCGAGCTGCGTCAACCGTTGTGATGGCGCCAACATCCCGCCTGTCTGGCTTGGACTTACTGCACACCTTAGTAGGCATAGTAGCCAGGAGTTCCGGGCCGAAATCAGCTCGAAGAGTGTTAAAAAGATTCAGCTCCATTTGATGTATAATATGGGGTTTGTTTAAATTATAAAGTCAAAACACAGCAGAATAGGTTGTTTCAGTCCGACGTTTCGGTTGCCATGGGTGACCTTTCTCAAAATTTCTTACAGTCAATTGGCTCTTTCGAAAAAACTGGCAGCATCCCAGTTGCCCATTTTGGCGGAATTTCGCCACAGAGAACATCGTTGGAAACCTAGACGAGAGCCATTTCTTTCTTCTAGAGTTAAGCTACTAAACGCAAAGGGCATCACGTAAAATTGTCTAATAGGCTCAGCACGCCATAGGAACCTTCCCAGAACAGGCCACCTTAATCGGGTATCATGGATCGGCCCTATTCCTTTTCGTCTTCATATTCACAGTTTGTATGCCTCCACTCTCAGCATGTCAAAAACAGACTTTCCAGGTACCTTATTGTACACTAACCATGTCTTGAATGGAGCTGTATTTCACACCGAACTTTTATTTGTTACAGTCTTCCTGCCTTTCACCGCATCTGGAACATTTGGCCGAAATGCACTGGTCATCTTATTCCACTCCCGTGACCAAGCGATACCCGGGTCTGAATTTGTTTGATAGGTTTTCATCGACTCCAGTGCGAACCGGGGTCGGCCGGGGGCTGTCTTCTTTACTCCAATCTACCGGGAAAACTGACAGCACACCAATAGGAAAAGTGACAAACCAACCAACAAGCAGTACTGTTTGCGGCGCAGATAAGGAGCCGAAGGCCATGGAGCAAGTGGGTCACTAGTTTTTCCTCCTTACTTGGGCGTTAATACATCGGGATTTCCTCATTCGGAACTTGTCATATTGGTTTCAGCGCTTCAAAGGGGCTTAGTCTAGACAAATATCCGTTTATTCAGCTAAACTGACTACTAGTCCTTTGCCGTTTGTATGGCTGACCTAGGATACGACTTCACCCTTACTATGGGTTCAGTGAGTGCCCGTATTGATCATGAAATCAATAATCGTTCAGCTGTAACACCCTTTTGGTATCTCGTTGCCATGCCACGCGAAGGACGCACGAGGGATTTTGTGCTTCGTAGCTGTGAAGTTTTCGCGTAAAATGTAGAACACAGTCGCGCGTGTCATAAGGAGATTTTCAACCGTTGGGGATGCATGGAAGTGAAGTGAAAGTTCTACATGTGGATGGTTTGTCGGCAGAACAGATGTGAGTCCAGAGTGCAACTTTCTGTCGTATTAGCACCGAGATAAAGAACAGAAGGCTCCAAACCAACAGTGGAAAAGATGTTGGAAAGCCTGAGTTAGTTATGAAGAGACGAAAGGGCGCACATTTTTCCTCTGAATTTGATGAGAGATACAAAATGCAAAGAATGGGCTTTATCCCAAGCAGGGAGCGGTATTCCATGATGAAGCGAATATGATATGTGTATATAGGTTGTGATCCTTATAAGGAAAGATAGAATGTAAACCTAACCTTTCGTGAAGCCCGAGGCCCATTGTTTGGTATAAGGTGATAGGAAAAGGTTATAAAATGACAGATAAAAAAGATAACATGTGCCAAGTTTTGATCCAACAGTTGATGGGGGAAAAGAGGTTGACGATGAAACACCAAAGAGCAAGAAGGATATGCAGTGACTTGGAGAAGGTCACTCTGACTGGGTTAGATGAACGCCAGCCGGGTATTTGTATATCACTTTTTCGTCTTTGGGATTTGACTCAGGTATGCTAATAACTCTGCTGCACCCCATTGTTGTCTTACCTTTCATATCGTCATATTCCACTTATTTTTCAGGTAACTCCGTTGCGTAGCCTCGCAAGTCGTACCACGCCTAGAACAGGTTTGTCCCGCCGCACACGACGACCCCAGACAACTTCGCTTGCCATCGATAATCCCCCAACTTTTAGCTTGAAAACGGCTCAGACATTGAACACCCCTGTACAAAATGCCCGTGTATCCCCTCTTAACGCAGAAGAGCCCAGTGAAATCGGTACTATATTAAAACAACCCTTGTCTACATTGCTATCCGAAGACCGATTACTTGCAACTCCTGAGCCCAAGCGCCCGCGCGTTGCTTCGTCTGAGTCCCCAAAACCGTGTTCACCCAAAGCATTGGAAAATAAAGAAAACATGACTGAATCATTCGGTTCCATTCTGGAAGATACTTTTGAGGTATGCTATGTGTTACGTTCTCATGCGATGAGTGTTAAAGACTTTTCACACTTTCTTTTTGTATTTTTGGTGTGCGGTTACCCTGTCCTTCATATTGCCAACAAAATCGAGGGCTGCTCACAAGACAGTGTGTGGGGACCTTACTTCATGACCAACCCTTGCGGATTTAGAAGGGTTGCCTTGAGGGCCTCGCTCAGTGGTTGGGTGTAATAGTCCCACAGTAATGCACTTGTAATGGAAACTGCATGAACAAGATGCCTGCATATGACCATTAATTTTTCGTAGTGTTTGAAATGTAGATCACTCAGTTACCCTGAGTGTGGTTTGTACCGAACTGAATGAAAGAGATTTGCCGTGGCTACCTCCCTAATCCCCTTGGTATTCAGTTCTTTTCTCAGTCAACATGTAAATTCCTCCCTGTGCTTGTTGAGTCGACCGACTCCTCATGTAACTTTGCGTCAAAATATAGCTTGATGCAACCAAATCCTTCATACCTGCTCCATCTAAAAAAACTTTACTTTCCAAAGATCAACTTCCATAGATTTGTCGTGAGTTACCGCCGATGGTGACGATGTATTCAGAAGTCCCAATATTCATTCACGTCTTGGATTCCAAAAGTTGCCCAACACAGAACTGTTTATGAGGATGTGAACGAAAATCTGTGTAATGAAAGTTTTTTTAATCATGGCCGCTCCGTTGATAGGTCGTCAAAAAAGAGCCCGATATATAAACTAATTGCTCTCAATGTATCCTTCGTTTAGATTCTTGTTGCATTATATAGCCTTTGTTGTGCTCCAGGTGTCTAAAATGGAGAGTTTTCATATAGCTTCTAACCCCAAACGGGGAAGTTTAGAACACCATATTCGTTCAACCTCTTTACAGCCGCAACTATGCAATTCGAAGCTCTCGGAGTATCACACTGACGCATCTGCATACAGCTCTTTATTTCAGGAATGTTCGCACACCCCAATACTGCACGATAGTTTCCTCTTTTGGTAACAGGATATTTCCAATAGATGCATAAGGAATGGCCTTCGTAACAGCAGTACAGTAGTCTTCATGTTAATGAACCTTCCAACGCGTTTAATCTTCTTCGGGAAACGACTTTGGCGAATCAAAACTTTTTTCAGAGAACACCACTAATCACGAAACCTCCCAAACTGGTATAAGAACTACCGTATAAGGAGATTTTATCGCCAGAAGTGAAATGTTTCTGCCTATCATTCAAGTCAGTCACTTATCTTGATCTCGACATTCCGTCTGAAACTGTCCAAGCGGACACCCGGTAGAGCAATGCGGATATGTGCTAATGTTGGAGCTTCTAGCGTATGAACCTGTGGAACTGAATGTGTTAGACAAGTTCAGCACGGATGGATGACTGGCTGACTGATCATGCATAGTGCGCATGATCAGGCGCGCTCAAGCACTAGATATCAGACCGAAAGTTGGCACTATTTAAATCTCAAAGAAATATCCCAGCCGGTCCCGAACATAACCCGGTGCGAAGAGC